TTGCTCCAATTGCTTGACAGAACCGCCCTCCTTTTGTTTAAGGTTGGTGTACTCCCTACGCTTGACATTAACCTCGTAATCAAAGTAGTATTGGGCGTAGAACACCTGCTCGAAGTTCGCCCATGTGATGGCCCCCGGTACTTTCCTTCTACACTCTCCCACCACGTAGAAGTAATTCCTTCAAGCAAACGTGAAGCAACAGTCAACTTCACGTCGGGTGTGACCTGCATATCCCTTGATGCATCCTTCACTTTCTTGATCCAATCAGCGGCAACGGTAATGTCACTGGTGCCGTCGAAGGATTTACACCCCAAGGCCCTAGCCTCCTTGAGGTACTTGGAGATTCTCACACAAAACCCTCCTTCACGCCCACCTTGTGACGCCGCTGGAGTGGCCCTTGAAGCTCCCCGGCTTCCTTGAACCGAACCACCACGAGAGACGTGCCTTGCTTGGCGCCTAAGGTCTCTCCTTAGTTTCTCCTTTTGATACCACTCAAGCAATTCGCCCATTTGGGCGAATCGGGCATCACTCTCACCGTTGTCTTACTCATCAGTGTGGAAGTCACCCCCATCATACGGGGTCTCCTCATGCTCCGTGCCGGGAACAAAAGTCGAGTCATAGTCCTCAGTGTTAGTTTCAAACACCGAGCTTATGTGGCCGTCGCTCACTGTTTGGGCCCGATGGCCCCCACGGCCTACTCGGGCTCCTCTTCTCCCCCGAGTTGCAGCCCGGCTACCCCTCATGGATGTTACTGGTGCCTGCCCCCTCGGATTGTTCCTCGTTGCCATTCGCCTACCCTCCATTTCTGAAATAAGATTTGGATGAGTCGTTAGACTCCTATCAATGTCAATTGACGGAAGAACGTTATAGACACGTATTGGCTCAAGTCACCGCCATACCAATTGTTAAGGGTACCATCTTAACAATTAGAGACCTTGCCACCTAGGTAACAATAGTTCTATGAACGTCAAAATACAATGCTCATGGTTCTCGGTAAAAATTCCTTTTTTCAAAATCTCTCGTGAGAGGTTGATTACATAGTTTAGAACTGAGATGGCTCTGATACCACTTAATTGTCATGCCCCAGACCGCATCTAAGCGCGTGTACAACCGCCGTGTGATTAAGTGACGTCACTCGCAAGTCAACCTCGCATAATCACACAAGGCGTTCATGAACATCGTTCACACCATACTCAGTAGTAAACATACATAACAACATCACATCATAGATTGAATGAATAGCGGAAAATATTCAACGGTCAATCATAAGCCACATATGGCAAAACGTAGGCTCGCAGGCCAAAACAATGTAATATTACAAAAGTATCCATGAGCATAGTTTATGATTTAAAATAGTAAAGGAAGCACGAACCACGTCTTCCTCTAGATTCTTTCCACCTGTGCAAAGGTGTAGACAACAGGCTCTAGCTTCAACCTGAAATGGTGGGGCCCCCCGAAGGGGTCAGTACAAGTACCGAGTGAGTAGCAAGCTAAATGTAGAGTAACTAATGTTTCAAGTATAAGACCCAAACATAGGGTGATACATATACATATACTTCCTTACCCCAAGTTACAAAATACATATCACTACTTATATACATTTGGAAATACCCGACCCGTAGGTCATTGTTTAATGGGTAAAAATAATAGTAGTCAATATCCTTGACTTAAAATCTCAACCCACCCATAGACCTATGAGTGTATAGGACTCCTCCTGTCCAAATCAAATAATCATAAGGACACCACCCGGTCCTGAATTACTAAATAGTAATCTATGAGTTTTGAGGATACACGCCCGATCCTTGGGTACTCCACCCTATATAACCGAGTTTTGAGGATACCGCCCGATCCTTGGGTACTCCACCCTATATAACCGAGTTTTGAGGATACCGCCCGATCCTTGGGTACTCCACCCGAACTATGATCTACCACATATCATACTAGATAGGGCCTACATCATAATCAATAAACAAGACTAGACCAAGTCTTAAGGCCTAAACAAAATCATCCATGCAACTCATGCATTAAAATTAGCATATAGGTAAAGTAAGGCCAAACAGGCGCCGGTCAACTCTCAGTTGACCCGCCATTCCAAATCCAATGTGTGTCAAACTTAGTCACAATATGTACTAAGTTATGAATAACTATTTTATGCACATTTCATCTCTAAACATATCACACATGTTTTTATGAGCATTTTCACTTCACAAATCATGCATATTTCAATAGTTCACTTCATACAAGCCTAATCACTTTAATTGGCTAATCACATGTTTAATTCATTTAAACATTATTATGAACACACATAACATATATTTAGGTAATCTCATGCTTAACCCAAAAGTTACAAGACATTAAGCCACCCACTCACCTCAAATGAGCTTTAAGAAGTTCTACTCTTCTTGGTTGAACTCCGGCGGAACTCCGACGAAACTCCGGCGAACTCAAGAAAAACTTTAGTCAAGCTCCTAACATGGTTTTATCATCAAAAAAACCATATCAACACAAATAACCCCTAAAAGGTTATTTTTCGGCGAACCGGTCGTTTGGCTTCTAAGTCCGCCCTTGGACTTAGAACTACCTTCCAACCCCTCCTTCTACACTTCTAAATGTGTAGAATGATTCTTGGAGTCCTCCATATGATATAGGATACGTATGGAAATCAAATGATGGAAGAAAAGTTATTAAAGAACTTCTCACCTTTATTTTCCAAGTTTTCCTCTACTTTTGCTACTTTCTTTTCTTCCTTGAGTTTCTTGTTGTTTGAGCTTGCTTTGGCTATGGAGAATGGAGTTGCAGAGCTTCCTCTCTCTCCCCCCTTGGTGCTGGCCGAAGTTTAGGTGAGGAAAGGAGGGGGTGGGCTTCTCTTTTGTCTCTTTGAGCAATAAGTGAAAGGAAAGGGGTCCACCTCCATTTAGTTTAGGTGCCCCCTCACTTCAATCACTCATACCCCATAATGCATCCCCCCTTGTAAAAATTGAGCATAAAAACGTGGGGTGGCCCCCACTCATGTGGGAGGTCATCCCTTTGTGCCCGATTTGGACAATTGGTCCCGAAAATTATATTTTTCGGACTGTTTTAAATATATTTTATTTTATAGGGTCAAATAAAATATATTACATGATCTTACTCATTATGAAATTTATAATAAACATATATTCCTCAACTTTAATTTATAAAACTCTGAAATCCATTCCGGGCTGTCATCTGATAAATTACCAATACCGGTAATTGGCCTCGTTTGACCGACAGGTCAACCCTATGCCTTTTCTATTGCCCAATAAAAATATCCACCACCATATAAATATTATCTAGACCAAGATGAATATAATATGGGGTCTCGGGATTACCGGACGGTCCCCGCTCCCGGTGTGGGCCCCACGTGCAGTTCACTACTCACGTGAAAGAAATAACCAAAAAATTACAACCACGTAAATTCATAAATCAATATTCAAGATTTATTACATGATTTACTAAAAAGTAAATATATTTGGGAACAGTGTTACATATACCATTCCATTCGAAATAAAATGATTATTACGGTATCGTTACGTTGCTCATCGGGTACCGTCGCCTGTCATGATAAAACATATTTCAAGTATATAATTCAAGTACAATTATCACCAAGATCATAATCACATGATATCCATAAACTTCACATATATAGCATTCAAATGATAATTTAAAACATGATCATATATAATTAATTAGCACATAAGAAGTTGATAAAAAGTACGGGCGTTACACTTCCTTTCCATTAACACACAGATTCATAATGTTTCTTTTTTTCAATCAGTCCAAGCATCAGTCATCACAGAACATCCAATTCGCGCTCATTCTTCTTCATGACTCTTTAGTAAACCTTTAATCCTCTCAACTTCTTCTCTCAACAGTGTCTCCCTCAATTCATATTGATTGGGAGGTTCCCATCCGGGTCCAAACTGCCTTAAAGCTTCACAAAATAGCTTGAAGCTATCATTGTCAATGGCATTAAAGGGAATACATGCTTCATACATGCATCTAGCACAATATTGGCGCACATAATGTGTTCTCTCCTTGCAAAGTGCATCCGTGATCGTCTGTTGTTTTTTCGTTACACCCAAAGAAGCCTCGGAATTTATGGTAGATGCAAACTTGTCCATTGGCCCAAGAAATTTAGAAGACTTCAAACTCCCAACTCGGAACAAATGATTATACTTATTTACTACTCTGTGTAGGAAAGACTCTATTTATGTATGTATGGAGGGTGATCATTTTCTAATTCAAACATGAATAAACTGATCACTTATTTGACACTAGTAATTTCAGAATTTGCACCTATTTGTATCTCATTTGAATCTTTTTTTTCGTATGTGGTTCATGATATGTCTACTAGTTTCTTTGAGCATATTTGATCTTTAAATTGTTAATAATGACCAAACTACATGTTCAATTGCTACTCTTGTGCGTGAAAGACTCGATTTATATCTGTATGGAGGGTGATCCTTTTATAATTCAATCATGAATAAACTGGTCACTTATTTTGACACTAGTAATATCAGAATTTGCCACTATTTGTATCCCATTTGTATCATGACTAAAATTAGTCATGGATTGAGGAGTAAAGAATTATTTGAGAAGGTCGGGGTGCTCGATTTTTAAAAAGAGACATCTAGAACGATGAGAATCATAAACTTATTTGACACTTATTACACTAGTAATGTTAAATATGTAACACACGAGTTGAATAATTAGTTACTTCACAATAGAAATTTATACAAGATTCCCCAAAACAAAAGGTCCTTTTCTGAAATATGCAGTTAAAAAGTAGGAAAAAAATCAAAAGTAAAAATATGTTTATCAATCAATGAAGTATGGTTTATACAACATTCCCTATAATAACGGATATATTTAAAGTGGTTGCTAACTTGCTATAGTACCCATAAATAAAAATGAAGGTACAGTACATATTTGATCGGTCCAAATAATAAATATACGGAATATCATGTATTTATGTTATGTTTAAATGAGTCAATTGCAATATTTTTATTGATCCATATTAACAAAATACTACTATATGATAACTTGAGAGTGCCATGTAATTTGTCCGTTTAATTGATTATTCTAGAAAAACCATATACTGAAACTGTACAATAATGTAATTTTTTAAACATGTGGAGTATATAGTACTCCATAGTACTATAGTACTGATTAAAATGAAGTGGAAGGTTCCATAACAAGAAAAAACTAAAGTCGAAGGTCTACCCATATTTGCTGAAATGCCTTGACAATAAGAGGATGATATTCATGAGAGTTCAAAGAAAGATAACAGGCAAGAAGTTCTTCCAGCTCCCGATCAGACCCCTCCATCATCTCATTCTCAAGGATCATCTCCATCATCGACTCTCTGAAATCCTTCTCCGGATCAGCCGAGGCCTTCTCCATCGCCACAACCCTTGAAGATCTCTTCTTTCTTCCATTCTTGGACTTGGAATAATAATACGGCTCTCTAAACTCTCTTGCAGGTTTGAAATGGCCTCGATCTCGAGAAGGCAAGTATACTGCCTTCCTCTTCGGTGAAACAGAGAAAGCAGAGCAGTCGTCGTTTTCAGGGGAATAAATCGTGGGGGCTGTTCTTGATTTTGTGGTGTTCTTGTTTCTGCTGCTGGGTTTGTGAAAGAACCAGGAATTTGGGATTATATCTGATAATCTAAACCTGTTATGGTGATTAGTGCCCATTGATGGAAAGTTTAGGAGAAGATGGAATGATAAGAAGAATCAGGGGGGAGTTTTTATAGTGGAATTTTCCTTAATAGTTAGGATTTGGAATTAATTAAGATAAGGTACAGTGCTTATATTAGTACGAGGAGCTACATATTTGTCAGACCACCACACGTATGTTTGTCTGTCACGCAATGATTAGAATATTAATTTAGTTGTTTAATCCTTTCTTCTTCTTCAAAGATTAGGTGGAGATGAGTGAATGACAGTTACAGGTGCTTTTACACACAGGGTTTTCATGGAGCTCAAGCTGGAAGACTTTTATTTGTTTAATTATTTTGATATTATTTGTGTAGATTTTGGTTAATCCACAACTACTCTACTAGGATGAGATCCAGTTTATCAATCTGCTTGATATATGCTGTGGTCATTAGAGCCGTTGGGCAGGTTTGGGACCCACCCAGTGATATGTCGTCCCATTTGGTACTTCATCCGTCCCAAAAAATATTTTCACTTGGACTTGCACGCTTACTATGAAAGTAAAATAAAATGAAAATACATGATTGTTATTGCATCCAGTAAATGAATATTAGTCACACAAAACTTTTCAAAAAGATAGATGAGAAGCTTTTTTTGGGAGATCCCAAATCATAAGTGAGAAGCATTTTGTAGGACAGAGGAACTATATTCGATTGATTCAAGCCATTAATTAATCATTTTTATGTTTAAATTATCCAATTGAGGTATCTTAATTGATTGAAGCACATAGTGTAGATTGTTTCAGGGAATAAATCGATATTACTTCCAATGCCCTCATAGATTGGACGTCCAATCTTTTTTTTTTCTCTTTTTTTCACCTTTTCAGTTTTCCTTTAGGATTCAAACTCATAAAAGGCTTGCAGATTTATGTTCAAACTCAGTCACTTATTTCTATCATTTTTTCAAGTTCAAATTTATATATTTATACATTTTGATTTATACAAAAGACTGGGAAATCTAAACAATTAAAAAAATTGAAGAACTATTAATACGGAGTATTTTATTGTTCTTTATATTTTCCATGGTAAAATCAAACTCAAGAAAATAGCTTTCTTTATAATAAGGAGTAACTTTTTTTCTTCCCCAAGCACTTGTGAGGATCCAAACATACCCTTGAATCCATCCCGAATCACAAAATGCAAACTCTTCCATGCCTTAGGTTATCTCACATTGAGGCCGGAATGTGATGCCTGAAATATTAGATACCCATGTTTGGTTCACGGTTATGAGAAAAGATCGGGAAAGTTACATTCCCGGGAATGTAAAATGGAGGGGAATGTTATACCCTTCCATGCCTTAGGTTATCTGACATTCCCGGGGATGATCTAATTTTCTTCCGAAAATACCCTCAATTAATTATCGCTTTTCATTTAATTTCTCTATGTATTCAACTTTTATCAAACTTTTAATGTAGTTTCTAAATGTGTAACTTTTATTTACTAAAAATAATCTTATTATTGACAAGGATCAGTTAATTTTAGGGAGGTTTCCTTAAATATTACTAAAATATAAGTTATGGATAAAAATATAACTACGGTTAATATGCATAGTCACTATGATGTAAAGTTGAACACTATCATGGTCAATAAAGTTACTATTATAGTCACTAAGTCATATTTGTGTCCATTACCTTCGATTCAGTTATATATTTGGCATTATTTCTTAATTTTATAGCCAGTTGAATATCTAGATTGTGTGACAACCTTTTAAGTGGGACGAATGAAGTATGTTTATTTAATTATATTCGAATGTCTATTATATTCTTGTTATTTTCATAATTCTTTTTTCCTTAACATTTAAACTTTTTAAGGTATTTATGCCTATAGATTATTTAAGTTTTTAATGAGTTGATTTCAAAATTTAATGGCAAAATTGATAATTTTTCTTTAAAAGAAATTGGGATCTGGTTGCGGGATGCTTAATTAATATTTATTCTTTTTAATTATCCTGATTTATTTCCTATTATGAGTTAATTAGGATCCCTATTATTTGTTTCCTATTTGAAGTTGATTAGGATCTTTTTTTATTCAATTTCCTAGTTGGAGTTGATTAGGATTTCTAGGATTTTGTTTCCTAGTTTGGGAATTAGTAGATGGGTATTTAAACCCCTTGTTAGGATTCATTCTGCCTCATCTTGGAATAAAATTGGTTTTAGCATTTTGGCTCTGGGGCAACGGTATTTTTATCGTTGATTATCTGGTCAACGGTTTACCCCGTTGATTTTATTTTTCTGTTACACAACAATTGGTCCGACCTACCGGATCCCGTGCCGCCAGAATGACGAGATCTATCAGTGAACGTTTGTCAGAGATGGTGGCCAAGCAAACTCAAACCTTAAAGGAGCACAACATGCGTTTGGCAGAGATCGCCGCATCCCTGGCAACGCTTACCAAGGCGCTTGTTCCACCCAGTTTTGACGGAAACAAGCTCGGACACGGTTGGCAGCTCCAACGTATATGCGCACAACGGCAACGAACAGCCGCATAACGTCACTTCCTCATTGGTTGCATTCAAAAAGACTCTCGCACCGCCAGTTGAGGAGCATTCAACGGTGGTGACTTCACTCGACGCGGCAGCAGCATCCTCGTTCGGAATTGGTCTATGCAGCTCCTATCTTACGACGTTGCCCTCGTTTATCGAAGTAGAACCGATCAGCCGGGTTGATAAGGCTGAGAAACGGTTCAAATTGAATTGTGCTCTGCTGGGAAAGAAGGCGACAACCCTTGTAGTTGCGATGGAAGGGTCAGCCCTATACTGGTTGACCAGGATACAAACACGAAAGCCGAGCATGTCATGGGATGAGCTTACACAGGCATTGATGGCTCGTTTTGACTCACAGTTTCAGGGCATCTGCTTTGAACGGCTGCCCGGAGCCAAGCAGACAAGGATTGTGGAGGAGTACATCTCAATTTTTTCTGAAGATACTGGGCAGCCCCCGGGAACAAATGTCAGCCGGTTTTCGGATTTCAACTTTGAGGACAAGGTTTTTCGAAGGGGGATGGAATTGATATGAAGCAAAATCTGGGCTTGGAAGAACAGGGGCAGAAGCCTCCGTGGGTTTACTGAAGGCGGGGACGGGCTTGAGCCCACCTTCGTGGGCTGGTTGTGGGATGCTTAATTAATATTTAATCTTTTTAATTATCCTGATTTGTTTCCTATTATGAGTTAATTAGGATCTCTATTATTTGTTTCTTATTTAAAGTTGATTAGGATCTCTATTATTCCGTTTCCTAGTTGGAGTTGATTAAGATCTTTATTATTTTGTTTTCTAGTTGGAGTTGATTAGGATTTCTAGGATTTTGTTTCCTAGTTTAAGAATTAGTAGATGGGTATTTAAACCCCTTGTTAAGATTCATTCATTCTCATCTTGGAATAAAAGTTGGTTTTAGCCTTTTGGCTCTGGGCAACGGTATTTTTATCGTTGATTATCTGGGCAACGGTTTACCCCGTTGATTTTTATTTTTCTGCTACACAACAATTGGTCCGACCTGCCGGATCCCGTCCCGCCAGAATGACGAGATCTATGAGTGAACGTTTGTCAGAGATGGTGGCCAAACAAACTCAAACCCTAAAGGAGCACAACATGCGTCTGGCAGAGATCGCCGCATCCCTGGCAGCGCTTACCAAGGTGCTTGTTCCACCAGTTTTGACGGAAACAAGCTCGGACACGGTTGGCAGCTCCAACGTATCTGCGCACAACGGCGATGAACAGCCGCACAACGTCACTTCCTCATTGGCTGCACTCAAAAAGACTCTTGCACCGCCAGCGGCGGAGCATTCAACAGTGGTGACTTCACTCGACGCGGCAACAACATCCTCGTTCGGAATTGGTCTATGCAGCTCCTATCTTACGACGTTGCCCTCGTTTAACGAAGTAGAACCGATCAGCCGGGTAGATAAGGCTGAGAAACGATTCGAATTGAATTGTGCTCTGCTGGGAAAGAAGGCGGCAGCCCTTGTAGTTGTGATGGAAGGGTCAGCCCTATACCGGTTGATCAGGATACGGACATAAAAGCCGGGCATGTCATGGGATGAGCTTACCCAGACATTGATGGCTCGTTTTGACTCACAGTTTCAGGGCAATTGCTTTGAATGGCTGCCCGGAGCTAAGCAGACGGGGATTGTGGAGGAGTACATCTCATTTTTTTCTGAAGATACTGGGCAGCCCCCGGGAACAAATGTCATCCGGTTTCCGGATTTCAACCTTGAGGACAAGGTTTTTTCGAATGGGGATGGAATTGATATGAAGCAAAATCTGGGCTTGGAAGAACAGGGGCAGAAGCCTCCGTGGGTTTACTGAAGGCGGGGACGGGCTTGAGCCCACCTTCGTGGGCTGGTTGCGGGATGCTTAATTAATATTTATTCTTTTTAATTATCCTGATTTGTTTCCTATTATGAGTTAATTAGGATCTCTATTACTCCGTATTTGTTTCCTATTTAAAGTTGATTAGGATCTCTATTATTTTGTTTCCTAGTTGGAGTTGTTTAAAATCTTTATTATTTTGTTTCCTAGTTGGAGTTGATTAAGATTTCTAGGATTTTGTTTCCTAGTTTAAGAATTAGTAGATGGGTATTTAAACTCCTTGTTAGGATTCATTCATGCTCATCTTGGAATAAAAGTTGGTTTTAGCCTTTTGGCTCTGGGCAACGGTATTTTTATCGTTGATTATCTGGGCAACGGTTTACCCCGTTGATTTTTATTTTTCTGCTACACAATAGGGCAACACCGGTGTGGGGGAGATTGTTAGGTATGAGCCTTTCAGTCCCTCGAGCCGGTCAAACCCGTGACTCTTTAACCCGCCTCTTTGGTAGGAATGCCAAAGAATCCCACGCATGTGGGCTAGGAAAGTCCTTAGTACCTTATAAGGCCTAGGCTCTCCACCACTATTGACGCGTTTTAAATCCGTGAGGGGCAACACAAAGCGGATAATATCGGTAGTCTGCCTCCCGGCTGTGGGATCGATCCTTCAATACGTAGTAATAAATATATTTAGATTGCTATTTGAACAGAGTTTTTTTCATTTTTGTATTGGATCTACAACCTCTTACAATTAAACCTACTTAAAAATAATCCAATTAGATTTCATTTTATTTATTATTAAGATATTTCATTTTTTGTTTAATTTTTAATTACTTCAGACGTGGGTTGTAATAGATTTATTGTGTTAAGAGAAAATATTTAAAGGACATTGAGGTAATCCACCATATCTTTAATATAAGATATCTTTTAACCAAATAAATTAATGTCACATTCCCTTAACCTTAACCAAACACAAATGGGAATAAAGTGAATACATTCTCATCAATCTAACATACCTAGCAATCTGAGATTTCCATGTTAATCTGACATTCCTTGAACCAAACGCACCCTCAGAAGGTGAGGCTCTACAAGTCATTTCCTATATACTGCAGAGATTTAAGGAAGCAACAAGTTTACATTTACAGTGGGAAAATGTGGCCATCAGCTCAGTTTCAAGATAAGTATATTGAAAAGCAATACCTCAAAGAAACACATGATAATATATTCAATCACCAAGTCCTAAATATATATCATCAATATACATACACAGCAAGTGCATCCTTTTCACACAAAAAAGTCAGATTCTTTATACATAGACCCTAGATTTGATAATCGATCCATCACCAAATATAAAACCAGGCATGACCATCAATCCAACTTTGCTCCTTTCCTCACTTACCTCCTCCACAGATTCCATATAAACATTTGAAAACTTACTTCCCCTCTTGACTCCAAACATTTCACAAGTTGCTCCCACATAAGCCACGTCACATTGAAGTTCCCAAACCGATCTTGCCATTCTAGAGAATGAAGAGTAGAATGATGTTGCCGGATGGAATCCATTGCTCACTAAAGTATTATGGTCTAAATTCCCAAAGAACGCCACTTCCATAACAGGATGAACTATTGATAGATATTTTTCACTGCAATATGCGAAAAAACTCGAAGTGAATCCAAGAAACATTCTCTGGGAAATATATGCTTCGAACGCATGTTTCTTGTGGGACCTATTTGAGTAAACAACAGAGGGTTGGATTGAGTGAGCAGCTTCGTCTAAATCCCAACCTGTAACCTTCATTAAGGTAATCAATGGTTTGGAAAAGTCGTGTATTGCCTTTGATGCTGCTTTGGCTTTTTTCTCAATGTGAGAGAAGCTCAAAACCTTGACATTTTTAAGCTCCTTTGCCAGTTTCTTGTTCTTTGAGTATACATCATGAAGTTCTTTCTGTAGAGAGATAATCTTATATTCTTTGTCTTTGACTAGGCTCTTCAGCTTATCTAAAATCTTTTCCTGGACCTGGGTTTCTGCAGATTTCAGTTCTTTTAGCTTCTTCGTCTCCTCATATGCTCTCCTAATCTTGCTTAGTGATACCAGCTGAGTTGAAAAGGCCTCATCTGCTGCTCTAATTTTATCGGGTTCATAAGGAATATGAGCTTTTTGGAGATTAATGTAGGTTAATTTCAGAGCTGAAATTGCTTCGAATAACTTCAAGATCACAAGATGACCATAGATATGTACTTTACTGTGAACCTCAACCCGCAAAGGATGAACTTTAACTGAATAAGATTCAGCTTCCTCAGTTTCTTTGCTTTTGGCATTGTTTAGTGAAAGTTGGTTTTCAGAACCAAACACTCCAATGGACCTATATTTACAAGCATTGGATTGTAAACAGGCTCTCGATGCACATTCCATTCTCTATGACTATTGAGCAAATCCCATTTGAATGACTGAAATAAGGGATAAAATGGTGCACTTCAATCGAGCTTGATTTTATCCTGATATGCAGAGAGTGCACAATGTACATTACTACAATAACTATAAAATGAAAGCAAATTTATAGAAATATAGAATTATACTAGAAGTTGTTACTATATATAAGCAATGTTCAACCCGCCACATGCAAACTTACAAGTTTTACAAAATGAGCTTCTCAAACAAGTTTGGGCTTAATTATGAGCTTATTCGAGTAGCTTTTCGAATAAGGTCATTTACAGCTACACTCAAGCATATTTCTTATTCTAAAATTATTCCTAAGACATATTACCTAATCATTTTGCATACATAAGGCTTTCTGCTGAACACTGATATTGAAAAGCTAGATAATCAGCTATCATTTCCAAGCTATAGGCTGTAACTCTATATGCACAAGTATAACTTATAATTACTGAGTAGCTATGAGCTGCCTTATATCACTTATATGAGCTTGTTTTACCAAGCATACACTTAAACTAAATGAGATTGTATCAGGCTACACCAAAAACTCCTGAGGTTCCAGCACAGATTAATGTACTAACAAGGAAATGCTCAGGTTCATAAGAGCATAAAACAAACACAAGAGAATCCTGATAACCAAAACACTCAAAATGTTTAAAAATTGAAACTTCAACGTATAAAATTTCACCAGATCTAGGGTTTTAAACATTTTTATATACAACAGAACACCAATATATGCAGCAAAATCTAAATGCTTCTTCTATTTGTCAGACAGAGGAAATGGATGATCTTACTTCGGAGTGAAAGGCCCGTGAAACGGAGCAAGAACGCCAGAAACACAGAGTGCAGAGCGAAATGGTTTAAATAAAGCTCTTAATTTGAGGCAGTTAATGATGAACAGTGAGATATCTTACTCGGCAGTATTTAGGAATCACAGGTTTGAGGATTCCTTCAGGGCTGGAGCGTTCAAATCACAACTTAGAGGAGTAGCTTAGACCATACATATAGTTCCAGCTCTTCTTCCATCTACTGTTAAACAGAGGGTAATCGAGCTGGCATTGGGAGCTAATGCGGTGGAAAGAAGAGAGATAAGCAAGAGAAAAGAGACTACAAAATGAACGGAACATTTGAATAATGGTGGAAAAACGAATGAGGGAATCTTTCTTAGGAGTTAGGACAGTACCACCTACGACTGCATATACCGGCAAGAATACCAAAAGAGAAAGAGATACTTAAAAAGAGATTTTAGTAATGAAAAAATTAATGATATTTATATTCATCCATATACCCACTTTTGTGAAACTAGTTCATCACCCGTGCGTTGCACGGGTATTAAATATTTTGTAAATTTAAGTTCTAAATTAGGGACATGTAAATTAATTTGATATATGCGTTATAATTTTTATTCTACTTTGAGTGTGTATGCAACGCCGAAAGACCGATCGTAAATGTTATAATAAAACATGAATTTTAATATTTTATTCACTTATAAGGAATACGACAAAGCGTTTACAAATTTTTGAACACTTCCTTATACACTACATTAAGTGTAGAATTGCTAGGCTCACCCTTATCATCACATATCATGAATTTTAATCCTGATGGATTTGTAACTCTAGATACCGCCACATACAACTGACCATGAGTAAAGACCGGACGACGCAAGAAGATGCCTACTCTTTCAAGCGATTGACCTTGACTCTTATTGATCGTCATCGCGTAACTAACCACCAATGGTAATTGCCTACGCTGAAACATGAATGGCAATCTAACATCGGATGGTGTAAGTGTTAGCCTTGGAATATAGACCTTCTTACCAGCCTTTGTCCCGGTCAATATCTGAGCTTCAATAATATTATCTCCAAGCCGGGTCACAATAAGCCGAGTGCCATTGCATAACCCCGAAGAGAAATCAATATTCCTCATGAGCATGACAGGTACACCTACCTTTAACCTGATTTCATGTGCCGGAACTCCAGAACAGCGTATTCCATTAAGAAATTCTGGCGAATGGATCTCGTCAAGCAGATTGTTTTCAGAATCAAAAGAGGATGCCGAATCACTGCTTAGATAAATCTTCTCCTTGGAAGTATTCAAACTTAACATGTAATTATTTATCATATCTACATCCTCTATTGTTGGAGCAAGAATGGCTCTCGAAGTCAAGTAGGAAGGATTGGTTCCATTTTCCAAGAAATCGGGGTATGTACACCTCACAATAGATTCTATAGGATTAGATATGAAAGGAGCGAGAAAACTCTGAGGTATTTCAATCATTGATTCACCGTCTTCATCATCGCCTACAACACCATCTCCAATTTGCAAAATCCAATCCGCAAAACTCTTCAAGACAGCAGAATTGTCACCTGTAAGCCTCATGTTCTTTGTAAGTTTAAGTACCTTACAAAATTGCCACAAGTACGAAGAGTTCAAAGATGCATGTACAATATCTTGTCGATTGCCTTTTGGAATAACTGGTAATATTTGTCTAAAGTCACCGCCAAATACAACTGTTTTCCCACCAAAAGGTTTAGTAGCATCACAAGTGACAGTAAATCGAAGGATGTCCCTCATAGTGCGATCAAGAGCTTCAAAGCAATACTTATTTGTCATTGGAGCCTCATCCCAAATAATTAAGCCTGTCATTTGAATTAAGTTGGCCAATTCACTACCATGCTTGATGTTGCATGTTGAGTCTTCTGTCGCTGTTAACGGAATAGCAAATCTAGAGTGTGCTGTACGTCCACCTGGAAGGAGAAGTGATGCAAGGGCACTGGATACCACATTCAATACTATACCTCCACGAGATCTTATAGCTGCTGACAGAGTTCTCCACAAATATGTTTTTCCAGTACCTCCGTGACCATACACAAAATAGATACCACCGTGATTTCCACTGACAGAAGCCATGAGTATGTCATACACACTGCGTTGTTCTTCAGTCATGTCTTGCAATAACTTGGAATGCTCCTCAGCTAAAGCATCTACATCGTATCTCATCTCTTCATGTATTAGGTTTTGGTGAAGATAATCCATTTGAGAAACCGATGGAAAAGGCATGCTTGCATAATTACGTAGAGACTTCCCTTTTTGTTGGAGAAGTTTTTCCACTTCTAGAAGAGCATAATTTTTAATTTCAGCTTCATTTAATTCCAAATCTGCAAGGCAATGAAATGATTTAGAAAGTCTTTGGAGAAGCGTGTTAAAAATAAGGACCAAAGAATATCTGTAGTTATGCTTACCTTGATCGTTGAGGTTCCTTCTTATATTATATAGTACATCATCTGATAAATCCTCCCAGCATTGCTCCCACACCACTTCTGGCTTTGAAAGTTCATCTGATGTCAGCAAGGTAACAAATAACTCACGGAGACTGTGCGCAGATCCCCAATGACTTACTTGTTTAATGCAACCAATATGATCTTTGTCATCTTGAAGCAAACCTCTTGCATAGCAAGCATCCTTGAATGTGGCATGGATAGTACCATTAACGGTCTTCAATTCCTCAAAACTGGTAGGCCCTCTTACAACATTGAGAAGCATTCTAAGGTAGTACTTCTCTCCTATGCCTGGACGAACAAAATAGAGTCTCCCAACGGCAAATCTCTTCTTTCTCGGTACCCATGTTTTTGAAGTTTTTTTCCACGTGAACTTAGTTGGAAACTCAGAATATGTCAATAACTTGACCTCGGGGTACATTTCATTTGCCTTCATCCAGGCGGTGAATTTGGTTGAGTGAATAGTAGCACGATTCAACACTGCGGCTGTGGATTCCCTTTCATTATAGAACACATTATGTTCTCCTGGGAGGTGGAAGCTCAGTCGCTCAACTGCAATATCCCTATAATGAATAGGGAACCCAAAAATCCTCCAAGCAGCCTCACATGCTGAGACATACCGACAATCATAATACATCTTAATCTCATCAACTATTTGAGATTTATTACTATCGGCATTCTCAGAGAATGCAACTATTATCCGATCATTGCCCTTGTTTATGTATTTGAAGAGATACTTTATTGAACGTGTCTGATTACACCATTCAACATTGATGTGGGCACCGTACTTCAGTAATAAAATACGGTTATGCGGAATAACAAATCTATTGTCGAGAAGAATGTCACCTTTTGCCACAGTTCTACCATTCTCTCTTCTTCTATAGACTGGAAAACCGCTTTTATCGATGGTTGTTTGTCGTACAAACTTCTTCGGGAAGTATTTAGTGCAACGATTCCCAACCATGCATGGCGATTTTTTGTTCAACAATCCACACGGGCCATGTATCATTAGCTCCTTTACCATGGTGTAATACTCAGGGTCACATTTCTCATCAGGGATCTCAGCTGAGATTATCTTATCGATATATGTGGCCAAGACATGTCGTTCTTTTTCATAAACCCACAATACTATATGTGCATGTGGCAATCCTCGCTTCTGAAACTCCACTGTGTAAATGACTTTGACATGCCAATAAATTATGATTTTAAAAGATTAGTCACAATAGTAAATGTAATCTTTTATGATTCGTGGATTAAAATATGAATTAAAAATTAAAAATATGTAATCTAAATAATACCTGCTTTCACTTTTCCAAATAACTTATTTTGTTTTAAATCCTTGATGAGTTGGTTGAGCTTAATTTTGAATATTCTACATAGGATATCAGGTCGATCATCCGGGTTCAACCCTCTTTCCCTGACGTAGCGTACAATCTCAGGCCACTTAGGGTTGCATGTAAATGTGATGAAAAGTTGGGGATATCCAGCCCACTTGCAAATTGCCATTGCGTCCTGGTAGTTCTGTATCATGTTACGTGCACTCCCTATGAACGAATTTGGTAGTACAATGAGTTGCCCTAGCCTTGATGTATTTGTTTCACCACGTCCAAGTGCATCAGCTAATCCACTATACAACTCACTTCTCAACTCCTTTTGATGTTGTCTAATATATGATAGACGTGATGACTCGATCATCGTATACCCATCAACCATAAACTGCTGAAACAATCGTTTGCATCTCAATATGTAAGGGGATTCATTTATACGCTCTTGAAGCCTATATGAAAAGAATTCTTTCATGGTAACATGCTTTCTTCCATTTGTTGTAGCATGCGATGCACGTGTTAAGGGAACGTATTCTCGAAACCCATCCTGGCCATATGGAAATAAAAGTGGATATTGCAAGCCAAGAAAAGAGGGATTCAACTCTGAAATAAACTGTAAGTCACCAGACTTTGTTTCAATAAGCACATCCCTCTCCTGTTTATTAATGTCAAAGTCACCCTCAATTAGGGCTGCAACCTCACGTACACTTGGAGTATTATATGTACGTCCATCTGAATTTCTCTTTCCAATTAGCTTCATTTTCAATGACGTACAATTTGTGTCATTGAATCTATCCCTCGCCATCCTGAATGATTTTGCATGAACATTATAGGTGTCTAACATATCTCTTAAGTCCGACACCACTGTTTCATGTAACTGGGCTCCACCTTCACTCCTTTTTTAAAGAAAATGTAAAGCAAATTTAATTTTTGCAATGCAAACGTAGAAGCAATGTATAATTGTTTTAGCAAGTGTAATTTAATTACCTCACAGATTCCACTCGGTATGAAATCTCCTCATGTGGGTCTGATAAGTACATCTGCAAGAATTTAGGCTGTTTCCCATCAACTGGTAGAAGACTACCAATCCTATGGTAGTTTTGCCCATTCAACCTAAACACTGGTGGTGTTTTCCCACCATTTATCTGTTTATCTATTTTCCCACCCATTGAAGTGAATGAGAACATGGAGTTATAAGAACGAATGTTCTCTAGATAATGTCTACTCCGTTGATCAAGTCTGAATATCAATCCTTTTAATAAATGTGGAGGTTCTTTCATAGGAGGGAGGACAACATTGCCCTGATTACAACACATTGTGAAAATTGGTCTCTGAGAAGCAGTTTTTTTTGCTAACTTTTCAGCATGTCAAAATATTGCATCACAGAACAGACATGTAAAGGTAGCATCACCAAGATCAAGATACGCTGAAACATAGTAGATATTTTTAGTGACTATAGTAATAATGGAGAGTGGGATGATGGAAGAAGGGGGATATACATTGCAAGGACTAATATAGTGAAATACAACCTAATGGATGATTGTGAAGAAGAATGATAGTAGTATATGATAGTTTCATT